ATATATATATAGAGAGAGAGAGAGAGAGAGAGAGAGAGAGAGAGAGAGAAGCCCCCTATTACGAAATAGGCGCCTAATATGAGATAGCGCCTAATATGATTTCTGCTAATAAATCTATCTAGTGATTCCACCATGAATTTATTGCTCTTGGATTAAAAACTATTTAGTAAAAAATTCATTATTAGATCATGTCTGTAATCATTGTAAAACAAGATTTTAGAATTTGGATATCTTCAAGTTTCATTAAGATAAACCTTTAAACTTTGTTTATTATATAATAAATAAATAATTGGCAATAAATTCTTCATGTAGTGATAGAGTAAGATCATACTAATAGAAAAATATGGGATATGTTGAATTGTTTAATTACAGAAGTTAGATTTGATAATCGTAAAATAATAAGGCGTGGAAATCTTAATATGAGATACCCAGGATATTCCTAATATGAAATAACTCATGCTCCTATGTTATAGTGGAAATCGTTGCTAAAGTATAAATGTTATTGTACAACAGTAAAAAAGATAACCGGAATGAACGTCGAGTGCCTATTTCTGCGATGCTTGATTCCAACTACCTGAAGACGAGTTCTAGATACAATCTATCGCAGCTTACTTTTAGCGTACACTGGCTGTGTCGATTTGTATTTTAGAAATGTTAAATAAAGTTTTTTAATTGCAGTACTGATATACTTTACGTTTTACTATTAATTTCTTAAGGGGCATCTCATATTAGGAGCATAATTTTTTAACTTTGCGATTTGTTACTTTTTACATTTCTTCAATTTTTAAAAAACATGGAATTTGAATTAAATTTTATATTACGTTATCTCAAAGCTTATTAAATTCCCTTCAAAATGACCTATTATTTTTTAAATTCTGCCTATGAACTTCTAGCATTTACCCAAAATGAACTCAGTATCATATAATAGAGGTCTTTCCCCTAAAATATTTTATTAGTTTTGTAAGATGTTCTTAAGAAATTCAATAATGTGTAAGTGTAATTTTTAACGGTCATATATCTTACAAAACTGTAATGAAATATATTCTATTTAAAAAGATAAAACATTAAAAAAAGGTACTTACAACACTTTTGTTTAAATCATATAGATCTTGATAACTTAGTTATTTAAAAAATATATCAGAGTATATATATTTAAACCAAACATATTATAAATCCAATTATTCAATATATATAAGAAAAATTTAAAGGAGTTAAATATTGAATAACATACAAAATCTGACTGCTTATCGCTGTCCATTGATTTTGATATATGACGTTTTTTAGGTGTTAGTGGTGGCATCACTACATACATATCTGTTTCAAGATACTGCTTTTTCTGTAAATATTTTGACATGGCGCTTGGTGTCTTTTTATTTTCCCCACTTGAAGTATATTTAATTTATTAAAATATTAAGATATATAAAATTTCAAAGAGAATAAATTAGAAAAATATATAAATAATTCATAAATTTTTTTTACAATCAAATTAATAAAATTTTACTTCAATAGGAGTTCTTCTAATTCCTGCTGAGACTGAACGTGGATCACCCAGCACTCTTTTTTCAGATAATATTGGTGTACATATGTTATTATCTTCCATAGTTACTTGCTGCACAACCATTTGATGTTCATTACATTCCTTTTCACTTTCATTAGTGTAAAATAATAATTTATTCGCATAATTACCCATGATATTAATGATCACAACTAATTATTATAAAAAGCTCCTGTAAATGAAAATCAAAAAGCATAAATGCAAAATGTCAGATTAGTATATATTTCATAAAGAGGTCATATAATTTTATTAACAAAAAGACTTAAGAGTATTCAATAAACTGTAGGCATAACATTTTAAGCTATTTGGTCAAAATAATTATACAGAAATATATGTTAACTTAGTTTACACTGAGCATTTGATATGTGTACTAATTAATAACTTTCTATTAAATTATCTTAATTCCAGTAATGTATTTAAAGAATGACATACTAAATTGATGTATGTGCACCAAAATGATTAATTAAATATATGTATATGTTTACACATATTACAAAAATTAAGACAATAGAAAGTTATTACCCATATCAAATGCATAATGCAACTAGCCTTAAATTAGCACGTACAAGCAATCTCTATCCTCGTTCTAAAAAATTGAACTTATTACATTGATTCTGTCAATAATTATTTTTCCTTATTGTGTTATATATTTATTACTTAATAAATAAATAACGTATAATAAGGGCAATAATTATTTCAAATAAGCAGCAATACTTACGTAAATCACAGAACTCTCAAAACGTTTTAGATAACGTTAGATATATGCAAGACGATCATACGTTACCAGATTCAAGTAGCGGATTTTAAATCGTTGTTTACTTTCAAAATTAAAACTGACAAACGTTCAAATAGTACCAACCTATAAAACCAGAGATCGGAAACTCCCATACCTTTAAGCCCGAATTTACAACAGATTTTTAAGCCTTCAGCCATAAGAAATGTATGAATCGCTATCGATTATTCTCCTCGCTTTCGATTGTAATTGGTCAATTTCTTGACTGGGCTTAAAGCCCGTATCAGACTACTGACTTTGCAAGCCGACCCGATTACCAACTCTGATTGCCGATTAATAATGAACTAATCATAATAAAACTGATTTAATATGATTGGTTCCATTATTGGTTGGCAGTCAAAATGAGTAGTCGGATACGGGCTTAAATCACAGTTGCACCAACGTTACTTTAATTTTAAAGTAAGTGAGATTTAAAACTCTCTTTGTCCCTATCTCTTTTCGGTTTCAAAAAGAGATAGAGAGAGTGACTGCGTTCAGTAGAACGTTTATTTTGCAACTGTTGAAAGTTTCTTTCACGCTGATTGGATTATGCTTTTAGATTAAGAGGAATGGTTCTAGCAAAAAATCATAAAACGGTTGCAAAACTGTTGTGTTCTGCTGAACGCAGCTAGTTTTAAGTTTCACTTAAAATCAAAAAGTTTGTTCGTGTTGTATGCTCCAAATTAACCCAGAGAGCACTTGGATCACAGATAAGATGACGGTTGGATTCATATGCTCTAATGTTCAGTGACATGAATGGATTTAGGACAAGTGAGCATGTCACTTAACCTAATTCGTGGGACCACTCGAACAGTCGACATGTCTTCTTCTTCTTCTTATTGGTTAGGAGGCTCCTGCCTCCCATATAAAGGGTATCCCAAAATTAACGCAAGATTTGAATTTGCCGCCATTTGTGCAGTAAAGTGTTGGCAACTAAAAAAAAAACAATTTAACAGCTGACAGTTTAGGGTTAGTGAAAATGGAGCGTTACACGATAGAACAACGTGTGTTCATTATTCAACAAATGGATGCTGATTTTTCGAGCAAAATCATCCTAAGCGATGAAGCACATTTTCATCTTGATGGCTTTGTTAATCGCCAAAATTGCCGCTTTTGGGGTACGGAGAATCCACATGTGATTGTCGAAAAACAAATGCATCCACAACGTGTCACTGTTTGGTGTGGATTTTGGGCTGGAGGCATCATTGGACCATACTTTTTTGAAAATGAGGCTGGTCAAGCAGTGACTGTTACTGGTGCTCGATATCGCTACACGATAACACAGTTCTTTCTGCCGAAATTGGATGATATTGATGTGGCCAATATGTGGTTTCAACAAGACGGTGCCACATGCCATACAGCTCGTGAAACAATTCAGTTACTGCATGAGACGTTTCCAGGTCGTATACTCTCTCGTTTAGGTGATCAGAATTGGCCCCCTAGATCGTGTGATTTAACACCATTAGATTTCTTTTTATGGGGTTATTTGAAATCACAGGTCTATGTCAACAAGCCCACAACCACCCGTGCATTAAAGGAGGAGATTCAACGCTGCATCAACGAAATTCAGCCACATTTATGCAAAATGGTCATGGAAAATTTCGACAAACGAGTGCGTATGTGCATGCAAAGCCGTGGAGGCCATTTGCCCGATGTGTTATTCCACAAATAACCCTATCCTATGTACTTTATGATTCAATAAAAAAATAACAATCAAAAGACTAAAAACTGTTTTTCTAACTGTGTTTTCTATTTAATTTAAATCTTGCGTTAATTTTGGGACACCCTTTATATTGAACGGAGATAATACGGCCAGACGTTCAATTGTACGTAAGCGTTGGTAGGTGGATAATGTTGTCCTGCAGGTTTCGGCGTTGCGAGGCGAAATAATTTGCCGATGAAAACGAAACCTAAAAAGGCTCCATCTCTCTCAGCGAAGGGCAAGCGTCACGGAGTGCCGCTGGGACGGGATAGAAGGTTCGGGCCAAATGCAGGCGCACACGCGCCTGGGGAGTGCCGCGAGTTGACGTCACGAATGTTTGAATTATAGGCGGTAACATGCAAGACTAAAGCTTACAAAGAGGCGACAAAATTTTACTTCTTGTCTTGAGAGGAGCCGCAGGGGCAAAAAGGATCGTCTATCAAATTTTTTCGGAAAAGACTCTAATTGTAATGATTGCTTCTCAAACGGAAAAGACTCTAATTGTAATGATTGCTTCTCAAACGGTTGATAGTGGTGATAAACATCCGGGAAAGATGAGAGTCATGAAACCATGGTTTAACATTTTTAAAATAGAAGTTACCAAAGTAATAAACATTTTTGTGACGAGATGTCCTTCCGATAAAACTCAAACTCCGCATTCAGACGTTTTTTAGGAATATGGAATAAATCGGAGAGTAAATAATACGGAGCTTTAAAATTGATATCCGAACCTTCGCGTATTGCCCTCTTGGCTAATTGATCTGCGATCTCGTTACCTTGTATGCCGCAGTGAGACAAGATCCAAATGAAGTTTACAAATATGTTTCTAAATTTGGTCTCTTCAATTATTGCACGTATATAATCGATGACATAGTTGTTAGTTTTGTTGCTGTATCTCCGCAGAGCGTCAAGGACGCTCTTTGAATCTGAGATTACAATGCGATTCAGATTTCTGTGGATAACTATTGACAAGGCATTATAGATGACCCAAGCTTCAGCTGAAAACGCAGAAGTGAAGAAAGAGAGCTTGAACATGTGTTGCAAATCAAGTTGGGGAGAGTAAATTGCAGAGCTGACGAATGTACTATTCTCAGATTTAGATCCATCCGTGTAAAATACGATGGCTTGAGAGATCAGATTTCTAAAGATGATGTCAAAGATGAGCTGGACTAATTGAGAAGGTCCAGAGCGGAAGAGTTTAAGAGCTTTAGGCGGAAGTTTAATGATAATATTCTCTAAAAAGTATAAGAATCCTCACATTAACTGGTTGTTAATGTGAGGTATCTTTCACCTTCCCCGACTATTGTGCGGGGAAGGTGAAAGATGAAAAGATGAGATTTAGTAAAGAGAGTAAGCAAGAAAAAAGTTCAGGAGAGCTTTGATAAGGCAGTAATCTATACCGTCCAGACCGGGACTAGAAGATATCCTTACAGCATGGAGGGCGGCTCTGATTTCGTTAACAGAAAACGATGAGTCAAGTCAAGCGAGAGATTCCGAAATCCTATCAGAGATAGTGGATGTCCACGGAGAACAAGCCGAGGGGCAAAATTTATCTATGACTTCTTGAATTTGAGATTCTGTTAATTGAGAGGTTATTAATAGGGAGAGAGGGTGGAACGAGGCGGTGGTTCTTGAAACGTTTGAGCATGCGTTAGACCTCCATAGAAGAGGTGCGAGAGCTCAAATTTTCGCAAAAAGTTCTTCAGCCTTTTTGCTTAGCATGTCGGAGAGTTCTTTGAACTCTCCCGATATGCCTCGTAGTATTCAGTAATCGGAGCCTTTAGGTATGCCGCCCGAGATTTAACCGTCTCACTACATTCCGGAGTCCACCAGGGCGCAGGGGAGGATCCCGAGAGGAGCAATCACCAGGGATGTATTGTTTGCCGTTGTTGCGAGAGTGTTTGGAGGATAAGTATTTCCCGAGGCTTTCCAAAATGCAGCGAGTGAATGTGTATCCTTCCTCTGGAGAAACTGAAAGAACAACAAGCCGAGGTCTCATCAACAATTTCCCGTGCATGTTCAGTTAACCAGTGGTGTACATACAACCATTGCTCGCGCGTAAGGTAAATTTTATTAGAAAAAAAATAGGTAGATTTAATTTGCAAGTTGATATCGATAAAACTAGGGAAGTGATCGCTGCCCCATAGGTCACACTCGACACGTCGCAGAGCGGTGAGAAAGAAAAGAGAGAGTTCGCGATGTTTTTAGGAAAGGGGATATTGGCGTGTCGATATACAATTTTGATTGTGAATAGAGAATTGTTAAAAAAGACCTAAATAGCTAGCATTTCGATCGAAGAGAGAAGGGACGATTTTCCCAAAACTTGATATTTGAACTACATATGAGGACTGCCATATCTCTGATGTCTTTGTTATTGGAACCTAAACGTAAACAATCAAAGCCTCTAATCGAACAGGCATGAGTGGAATTAAGGCACGTCTCCGCAAGAATAATGTCCACGCTTTCAACAATTTTTTCTATTTCTTAGAGGCAGCATCGCGGCAATTCCAGAAAATTAATTTGATAAATTGAGGGTTACGTTGAGGCAGAGAAGAATGATGATGAAGATTAATGTTCATTTTGAATATTAAGACTTTAAATACAAAGCGCCTTTTCGGTCGAGTGTTAAGATGTTGAACTACTATCTAATATACATTCAATTAAATTGAATTAATATTTCAGAAATAAATTGAGAGCCGATGGATTTATCGGATTCTCTCAATTTATTTCTGAAATATTAATTCAATTTAATTTTTCGCAATAAGTTTATTACAGTTTTTTAAGATTTGGGAGAATTTGGGGGGGATTATTTGTTTCAGATTGATTGTGTGAATCCGATAAATCCATCGGCTCTCAATTTATTTCTGAAATATTAATTCAATTTAATTGAATGTATATTAGATAGTAGTTCAACATCTTAACACTCGACCGAAAAGGCGCTTTGTATTTAAAGTCTTAATATTCATATAGACGGTCTTGTTTCCAATCATATTGTTCATTTTGAATATTATAAATCGATTGTCCAGGCGTCTTATAGATTTGTCGTAAGCACTTGCCAATTTGTGGATTAGAAAAAGATGAAGGAATATTGACAATTATTTTCTGTAACAGATTAGAGAGGATAAACATGAAATTCGTAAGTTCTGAGATAGAAGAATTGGGAGAGTGGTAGAAGGATGAAAGGAGGGAGAGGAGAAGTGGAAGGGGAGGGAAGATTGGGAGAAGAGGTACCCAAGGAGCGGGGGAGAGAAATTAAAAGCTTCCCACCTGCCATACAAGAACAATGAGACAAACCTGTAGGCATTGCGAAGATTCTCCGAGAGGCCATTATTGGGTCCTCCTGGTGAGGAGCTGACAGGATAGTCAGGACGTCGTACCTATTGAAGCTGAA